CTCAGCCTCCCAAGTAGCTGGGACTACAGGCGCCCGCCAACACGCCAGGGTAATTTTTGTAATTACAGGAGAGACGGGGTTTCTCCATATTGTTCAGGCTGGTCTCCAACTTCCGACCTCAGGCCGTCTGTCCTCCTTCAGTGCCCGGCCTGAAGTGGTATTTTTTAGAGAGTAACTAAACCTTTTTTCAGCTTAATGACCCAGGGATGTATTTCTGAAGGTCTTGGCAGTGCTCCTTGTAAGGCAAACTACAAGGGAGATAGTACCTCTATCTCAGTAGGAAGTTAAGTAATTCAAACATCAAATATTTCAAATTTAAAGCTACAGACATTTAAATAATTCTGAGTCTTGAGAGGAACGTGGTCATGCAACCTGAGTCCAGTGGCATGCAGGTGCAACTTCTAAGAATTTTGCTGACCAGGTGCGGTGGCTCACGCCTGTAATCCCAGCATTTTGGGAGGCTGAGGCTGGCGGATCACTTGACGTAAGGAATTAGAAACCAGCCTGGTTGCCGGGCGCCGTGGCTCACGCCTGTAATCCCAGCACTTTGGGAGGCTGAGGTGGGCAGATCACGAGTCAGGAGATCGAGACCATCCTGGCTAACATGGTGAAAACCCGTCTCTATGAAAAATGTAAAAAATTAGCCAGGCATAGTGGTGGGCGACTGTAGTCCCAGCTACTGGGGAGACTGAGGCAGGAGAATGGTGTGAACCCGGGAGGCGGAGTTTGCAGTCAGTGAGCCGAGATCGCACCACTGCACTCCAGCCTGGGTGACAGAGCAAGACTCTGTCTCAAAAAAAAAAAAAAAAAAAAAGAAACCAGCCTGACCAACATGGTGAAACCCCTACTCTACTAAAAAATACAAAAGCATTAGCCAGGCATGGTGGCGTGTGCCTGTATTCCCGGCTACTCAGGAGGCTGAGGCAGGAGAACTGCTTGAACCCTGGAGATGGAGGTTGCAGTGAGACAAGACTGCGCCACCGCACAACAGCCTGGGTGACAGAGCACGATTCCGTACCAAAAAAAAAAAAAAAAAAAAAAAGTGCAATAGAATTTAGTTTCCTAATATCAATTAAATAAATAAAAAAGCGGTTTACCTGTAAATAATTAGGAAAACTAAGCAGCCCCAGATAAGACCTTTTGGCATCATTGTCCCTTGTTCTGGAGTGATAAAGTAACCTTCCTTGAAGTGTATCAATCCGTCACCAATCAGGTTGCTGCAGCCGATGCACTGGTCTTGAATGGAAAATGTGATTCTGCTTCTCTGTCTTTCCCTGTGTGTGAAACCTTAACCATCTCTACTTGGGAACAGGGGCCCCCTTCATTTGGAATTGAGGTTTCCAGGTGGCTGTCCTCAAGCTTTGTGTTCAAATAAAGTCTATAATTAATCATGTACTCTAAATTTTATTATTTACTGCTGACATCAGTTTCTGTCCGATTGTAGGAGCCTCAACAGAGAGGGCACCTCTCACCATGTTGCAAAACTCACACTTGTCAAAAAGACATGGGTTAGGGTTACTCCCCCTCCCTCAGGATGAAGCTACTTAGCTGACACAGATGGTCACCTCCATTACCAAGTAGAGCCAGGATGAACTGTGTGTGAGCAAGGGTGTTGTCAAGTCCTCTTCCCTGAGGACTGATTAGTGTTTATCTTGAAAACATGTACTTAATGGGTTGTATAGAACAGTGAAGATTTTTTCTCTTTTCAGCCTCTCAGGTCTTCGCCTCTATTTCCCATCACATTCTGGTCTAAGGCTTATTTATTAATAAAACGGTTTTTATTTCTTCCTCTTTTGTCGTGAAGATGATTTCTCATTTTGGGGAATATTTTTTAGTTTTTCAATTGTATTTTCTCAACATTTAAAAAACTAAGTAAAGAGTATTTCTTGGGCCAGGCACAGTGGCTCACACCTGTAATCCCAGCACTTTGGGAGGCCGAGGCAGGCGGATCACTCGAAGTCAGGAGTTCTAGACCAGCCTGTCCAACATGGTGAAAGCCCGTCTCTACCCAAACTACAAAAATTAGCCGGGCATCCGAGATGTCGCCACTGCACTCCAGCATGCGCGACAGAGAAATAGTCTCAAAAAAAAAAAAAACGAAAAGAAAAAATGTAAATAAAAGGGAAAAAGTAATAGATCTCTTTTACAAATATGCTGGGACAACTAACTGGATATCCACATGGAAAAGGGTAATGTTGGATTCCCATTTCATACAAGCAAAAAAAAAATTTTTTTTTTCTTCTTTTTTTATTTTTTTTTTGAGATGGAGTCTTGCTCTGTCGCCCAGGCTGGGGTGCAGTGGCTCCATCTCGGCCCACTGAAAGCTCCGCCTCTCAGGTTCAAGGCATTCTACTTCAGCCTTCTGAGTAGTAGCCTACGGGCGTCCGCCACCGCGCCAGGCTAATTTTTGTATTTTTAGTGGAGACGGGGTTTCACCGTGTCAGCCAGTCTCGATCTCCTGACCTCCCGATCCGCCCGCCTCAGTCTCCCAAAGTGCTGGGATTACAGGCTTGAGCCACCGTGTCCGGCCTAATCAAAATTGTATAAATTATTTCAAAATTAAAAGAAAAAAAAAAAGAGACTGCGGGAGGAAATGTTACTTTGTCGTCCAGGCTGGCCAGGACCGCCAGGCTCAGCGATCCTACCGCCACTGCTTCCTGAGTAGCGGGGACCTCAGGCTCCCACGCCCGCGCCCGCATCCCTGCTGTGTTTAAGCAGCAGGTGATGACCTCACTCCTCCCTGGTCTGAGCACTCCGTCCCGCATCCCAGGCGGTGGCCCTAGGGAAGTCTCTGAAGCTGAGCACTGGGTGGACTCTCCCTCCCGAGTGAATGGAGAATAGAAAGGGAGAGGATTTCTATTCTGTCCTGTGAGCCGTCAGCATGAAATCCTACCTTACGCTCAGGCAGGGTTTTGCATTTTACATTCTAGTTTGCATCCTCCTTCCAGACTATTCCAGGGCTTTTGAATCATCCTTCTGCTTTCTTGGCTACTCTCGCCGCTAAAAGCCGGAGAACAGGGCTGGAAGGAGGCTGAGAGACTCACAGGTCCCACTCCGGCCCCGCCCTCTGCCGGTACTAAAGGGTAAGGTCTCTCCGCTTTGCGCCCCGCCCCTACCTCACGCAGGCCCCGCCCCTACCTCACGCAGGCCCCGCCCACACCTCACCCAGGGCTCACCTCCTCATTGGCTCCACCCAGGCCTGGTTTCCGTCTAGCGCGCGCAAATGCGCGCAGACCAGGAAGCGGATCCCGTGGAGTGACGGTCGCACCGCGGTGGTGAGTTTTGCTCTGTGTTGTATTAAGTCTGCGCTCCCCAGGTCGCGGCACTTCTGTACATGGGATGTGGGGTCCCCACAGACCTGGAATTTCTCGTCTTTCTTCCTTCACTCAGAGCAAATGGAGATGTTCTCCTGGGAGTCCGGAAGTCCCTTCTTTTTAGGTTTAAAGTCGCCCTGAGGCTGGTCTCGTCCTCGGTCTTTCTGCTACAGGGCATTGTATACACTTCCTATCGCGTAGTTTGCCTGCTCAAAACAGTGTTTTGACTCCTTCCGCACTGCGCTTTTTTTTTTTTTTTTTTTTTTTTTGAGACGGAGTCTCGCTCTGTCGCCCAGGCTGGAGTGCAGTGGCGCGATCTCGGCTCACTGCAAGCTCCGCCTCCCGGGTTCCCGCCATTCTCCTGGCTCAACCTCCCAAGTAGCTGGGACTACAGGCACCGCCACCACGCCCGGCTAATTTTTTGTATTTTTTAGTAGAGACGGGGTTTCACCGTGTTAGCCAGGATGGTCTCGATCTCCTGACCTCGGGATCTGCCCGCCTCGGCCTCCCAAAGTGCTGGGATTATAGGCGTGAGCCACCGCGCCTGGCCCCGCACTGCGGTTTTTAAAGTCCTCATCCGAGAGGTGTATTCCCTCTCTGCGCGCCTCCCAGCCTCACCCTCGTCGGTTGCTGGAGCACAGCACCCTGACCCCAGTCCCGGGGAGGCCGCGTTCTCTGTCTGGTCCTGGGATCCTGCGGATCCCACCCTTGTCTGAAGGCGTCGTTGCCCCCCACCTCCCTCCTCCTCATGCTGGGCCCCGCTGCTCTCCAGGTCCTCCCTCCGCAGTCACCGCTTCCCTTGAGCCCGCACTGTAGAGGTGCCCGGTGCCTGTCCTGTGATATGGGGTGTTCTTGCCTGCCCAGATCCAGCTCTTGGAAAATGCGCTCCTCCGAGATGCCGGTGTCTTCCTCCAAACCCTCGTGTGATTGTGTGGGCCAAAGGGATCAGGAGACAGAGAGAGGGACTGAGAGAGCAGTAGAAAACCAGAGGCAGAGAAAAGAAGAATGAGGAAGACCCATACAGATAGCAAAGTAGAGGATGGGTGAGGGATTTGCCAAGAGACAGCGAAAGTGAAAAAAAGATAAGAAAGCAGGAGAAAAGCAACTGCAGAAATGTAGAGAACAGCTAGATGTACAGAGAAATGAAGGACAGACAGCACGGTATGGAGAGGGGCAGAAATGTGGAGGCTCATCAGAATGAGGAAGAGGAGGAGGGATTTGGAGCCAGGACAAACAGAGCAGAGTGGTGCTGGTGGCAAGGAGAACAGAGGGAGAACCACAGCAGGGAGGATACCTGGGGATCTGGGGTGTCAGATTAGGTCCAGGGGGTTATAACAGGGAAGAGAGAATTTAATAGTGAGAGCAGAGGAGGTGCAGAGATGGTATAGAGGCAGAAATCTATGGAGATTGAGGACGATCTAAAGCTTGGGAAGGAGGAGCAACAAGAGGTTAAATAAATTGTGAGGATTGAGCCCGGGTAATTTTTGTATTTTTAGTAGAGACGGTTTCTCCATGTTGGCCAGGTTGATCTCAAACCCCTGACCTCAGGTGATCCACCCACCTCGACCTCCCAAAGTGCTGGAATTACAGGTGTGAGCCACCGCAGCTGTCCACCCGTGTATTCTTGATTGAAAATTTTTGCTTATGTCTTAGTTCTACAGCTGACCCTGTTTCCCTGTTTTCAAGGTCAATAGCTGTGTGTTTACACTTCTGCATTTTATAAATGTTACTGAGATTTCCTTGTAAGGAAGAATTCAATGTTGGGAGTCAGTTTTCATCAGAACCTTTCAAAAGAATTTTCTTTAACCCAGGTATGTGATAGACACTTCTCTTAATTTTAAGGATGGGAATGATAAGACCAACCCATCCCATTAGCCCTTCCAGGCCCCCATGTAAGAATTCAGGCATACCTTCTCACTCATCTCAGACCTTCTCGGGGTAACTTGGTGAAAATGTTTCCTGCTCTGAGCCCCGGTGAGCCTCCCTGCAGCTTGATGATGAAGGGCTAGACCAGAAAAGCTCAACCTGAGTGACCCTGACCCCTGAAATGATTGGCAAAATAGTGGCGGTGTGTGGGCATGGCTTTTTCTCTGGGAGAGGGGAGTGCCCAGTTGTAATTAGAATTTTCCATGGACTGCAGTAACCCAAAAATGAAGAAAAAAAAAAAAAGCAGAAGAATGGAAGAAACAGAGCGGTAGACTCAGAAACAGAGACCATCTTCAGAGGCCTTTGTCTGTATGAGGATATCACAGCTATGTCTAAAGCAGGTCGTGTCAGTCCCTGGCAGGGAACCCCCCACTGGCTTCCCGTGTTCCCCGGGACAAAAGTCCAGCTCTTCACTGTGGCTCCACAGCCCTGTGTCCAGGGCCCCTGCCAGTGTCCAGCCTCCTCCTGGGAGCTTGCCCTCATCTCCTGGCTCCCTCTGCCCCAGTCACATTTGCTTTTCTCTTTTTTCAAACATCAAAATTCTTCCTGTCTCAGGTCGTTGTCTCCGCTTTTATTCTATGTTTCTAAATGAAGATGGCACTGTCCCTTTCTCCTTCAGGTCTAGGCTCAGAGATGCCTCCTATGGCCTCCCACCCCCATCTGAAGTTCCCTCTGCCTGTCAGTGTCTATTACATTACTCAAGTTTTCTTATCTCTGTGTCAATCCCATCGGAAATGTATTTTTTTTTTTTTCAGACTCTCACTGTGTCCTCCAGGCTGTGAGTGCAGTCTCGTGATCTTGGCTCACTGCAACCTCTGTCTCCTGGGTTCAAGTGATTCTTGTGCCTCAGCCTTCCAAGTAGCTGAGATTATAGGTATGTGCCTCCACACCCTGCTAATTTTTGTATTTGTATTTGTATTTTATTTTATTTTTGAGTCTTACTCTGCCGCCCAGGCAGGAGTGCTGTGGCATGATCTCAGGTCACTGCAACCTCCACCTTTCAGATTCAAGCAGTTATCCTACCTCAGCCTCCTGAGTAGCTGGGATTACAGATGCCCACCAAGCCTGGCTACTTTTTGTATTTTTAGTAGAGAGAGGGTTTCACCATGTTGGCCAGGCTGGTCTTGAACTCCTGACCTCAAGTAATCCACCCACCTCGACCTTTCAGAGTGCTAGTATTACAGGCACAGGCCACCGTGTCCAGCCCAATTTTTGTATTTTTAGTAGAGACAGGGTTTCTCCATGTTGGCCAGGCTGGTCTCAAACTTCTGAGCTCAAATGATCCTTCCACCTCAGCTTCCTAAGTAGCTGAGACCACAGACACACAGACGTGCACCACCATACCTGGCTAAGTTTTTGTATTTTTGGTAGAGATCTCCTGAACGCGAGCTCATCCCAGCCCAGCTCCCCACTGCTGCAGTGTGTGTGTGGGGGCGGGGGGGGCTTTTCCAGGAGCAGAGCAGGAGTTTTCCTGTAGGAATTTTTTGTTCCTGGTGCAGTGGGCAGCAGAGGGGACCATATTTCCTCAGAGTGATGTATCCTGTGTGTGTGTCATTGTGTTACCGGGAAAGGATGTGTTGATTCTATGCAATAAACATCATATTTTTGACATTCAGGACTGACTTCTAAAGACTCTTGGTACGTGAGGAAGAAACCTGGAAGAGGAAGAGGAAAGCAAAGGAGTCAGGGATGTCTCCTCCTCAGGTGAGATGATATTTCGGTGGATTGTTCTGTCTCCTTCCTTTCAGAAACGCTGGGCCTTGGAGTTGGGAATCTTCTCTGAGTCTGAAGCGTCCTGCCTGACAGGTTTGCTCACACTCACCCGTGCCTTCCCTCAGTCCCTCTCGTCTCGCTTAGATTCCGTCTCTTGTGACCCAGTGGCATGAACTTGGAAGGAGGCTGCAGTGGTTGTTGTCCTGGGAAGGGCTCACACCAGACATGGATGGAGACGGGGTGAGGGTCCCGTGGTGTCAGGGCTGTTGGGCAGCAGGGATTTTTCAGGGGTCACATGTGGATGCACGTTTAGCTCTCTGTGGACCAGGATTAGAGCAGCTGCCACTGGAAGTCACGTATTAATGTGCACAAAGTATGTGGTAAATTCCAGAAAAGGAGACCAACATGGAGAAATGTTTTCTGCCTGAGTTTTTACTACACTTTTAGGTAATTGAATGAGTTACTGTGTTTCTGACTCCAAAAATCTTACTAATTAGAATGGAAAGTTCATACGTAGATATGAATAATGAATGATTCCTTTATTATTATTATTATTATCATCATTATTATTATTATTTGAGGCAATATTTTGCTCTTGTTGTCCAGGCTGGAGTGCAATGGCATGATCTCAGCTCACCGCAACCTCTGCCTCCTGGGTTCAGGCGATTCTCCTGCCTCAGCCTCCTGAGTAGCTGGGATTACAGGCATGTGTCACCACGCCCAGCTAATTTTGTATTTTTAGTAGAGATGGGGTTTCTCCATGTTGGTCAGGCTGGTCTCAAACTCCCAACCTCAGGTGATCTGCCCACCTTCGCCTCCCAAAGTGCTGAGATTACAAGTATGAGCCACTGTGCCTGGCCTATTCCTTCATTATTTTAAGAATATGAAATCAATGTAATAATAGCAGGAGGTTCATTAAACCATTCTTAGCACATTACGTTCATGAAGACAGTGGTGTTACTGTGGAGGGGCTTGTGAAACAAGTGTTTTTGGTAAAAATGGTTGCAATTTTTCTCAAATATGGAAGCAGTACTATTTTATCCAAGAGGATAAAGCTGTATTCTCATTCCGCGTATTGTTATTATTATTATTTTTCTGAAATGGAGTCTTGCTTTGTTGCCGAGGCTGGAGTGCAATGGCATAATCTAAGCTTACTACAACCTCTGTCTCCTAGGGTGAAGCGATTTTCCTGTGTCAGCCCACCTAGTAGCTGGGATTATAGGTGCGTGCCACCACGCCCAGCTAATTTTTTTGTATTCTTGGTAGAAACGGGGTTTCACCACGTTGGCCAGGCTGGCTTCGATCTCTTAACCTCAGGTGATCTGTCCGCTTCAACCCCCTAAAGTGCTGGGATTACAGGCACAAGTCACCATGCCCATCCCCACCAGTTATTATTAAATATAAATGGTTATATTTAAACGTCACATGATGTACACATTTGTTTTGTGGTAAAACTCCAAGCAAAGCTGCAGCTTAGACCCTTGGCCACAAGGCATCTCCTTTCCCTTTCACATCCTCCACCCTCCTTCCAACCTCGCTGGGAATTGCTACTGTCAGTTCTGTGCCAAGTGTTGTAAGTGTAACTGTGCCAAGTGTTCTGTGCAAGTCTTGTACACGCGTATTTCTGCATCTTTATGAGACTTTAAAACTTCTGTTGTAAGTTAAAGAAAATTTTTCATATTTTTTTTTACTTTACATTTGGGGCTACATGTGAGGGTTTGTTATTGAAGTCAACTTGCGTCATTGGAGTTTGCTGTGCCAATTATTTCATCACACCAGTATCAAGGCTGGTACCCAATAATTTTTTTTTTAATTTATTTTTTTGAGATTGAGTTTGCTCTTGTTGCTCAGGCTGGAGTATAATGGCATGATCTCAGCTCACTGCAACCTCCGCCTCCTGGGTTCAAGTGTGTCTCCTGCCTTAGCCTCTTGAGTAGCTGGGATTACAGGTGCCAGCCACCATGCCTGGCTAATTTTTGTATTTTTAGTAGAGACAGAGTTTCACCATGTTGGCCAGGCTGGTGTTGAATTCCTGTCCTCAGGTGATCCACCTGCCTCGGCTTCCAAAAGTGCTGAGATTACAGGTGTGAGCCGCTGTGCCCGGGCCCACTAGTTATTTTCTCTGCTCCTCTCCTTCCTCCCACCGCCAAAGTATCCTTTCCACTGAGACAAGATTCCTCTTCAGTTAAACAAATCTTGCTACTTTTATATTTTAAAAACTTTTATATATATAAATATATATATACACATACATACACACATATCTATGCATAGACATACCTATATACACACACATACATATTTTGAAAATCTGGGGAAAATGACAACTTTTTTTTATTAACGTCTAATTTCTTGTGAGTCTTTGCACGTTTTATTATTTTTGGAGCATATATTTTCAGAGTAGATTTTCGTACTTTGAATAATGCTGTTTTCATATATTTATTTTATTTTGAGACAAGGTCTCACTCTGTTGCCCAGGCTGGAGTGCAGTGGCATGATCTTAGCTCACTACAACCTCCACACTCAGACTCAAGCCATCCCCCAACCTCTGCCTCTCAGGTAACTGGGACCACAGGTGTGTGCCACCATGCCGGTTTATTATTATTATTATTATTATTATTATTATTATTATTATTATTTTGAGATGGGATCTTGTTCTGCAGCCCAGGCTGGAGTGCAGTGGTGTGATGTCGGCTCACTGCAACCTCTGCCTTCTCAGTTCAAGCGATTCTCCTGCCTCAGGCTCCCGAGTAGCTGGGAATACAGGCGAGTGCCACCACGCCCAGATACTTTTTTGGTATTTTCAGTAGCGACAGGGTTTCACCTTTTTAGCCAGGATGGTTTCCATTTCCTAATCTTGCGAACTGCCCACTGCAACCTCTGCCTCCCAGGTTCAAGCGATTCTCTTGTGTATTGGTTCGTTTTGGGATCACGTTGATTTGCCTTCCTCTAAATAGGGACTCAGAGGAAGTCCTCATTGGCTCTTTGTCTGAGAACTCTATATATGCAAACCCTTTGGAATGGCCACTAAATTTGGCACAGAGTTTGGTAACACAGTTGACCCAACCACAGCCAGGACAGTGAGCTTCCAGCTCTTCTGCTGTTGCACCATGGTCCACATTACCAACATAGATGGAACGGGCATCAGCCTCCATCTTCTCCTCAGTGTACATGATCTCTGGGCCAGCATTGCCTGGAGCTGGACTCATATTCATCTACTTCTCTAACTCGTTCTGTAGCTCCTTTAGCTTCTCAGCTTCTTCCTCCATCCTCCTGACTCCCGCTTTGATAGCTTCTAGCACTGGGTCCTCAATGGCGCCGTCCCCTGGGTCACCCTTGACCAGTCCCGGCTCTTCCTCTTCCTCTTGGCTGCAGGGGTTCCCGAACCAGGCCCAGGGCCCGGAGCTCCCGGGCGAGGGGTGAGGGGCGAGGGGCGTGGGGCGTGGGGCCGGGGCGGCTTCTCTTCAGACTGGGGCTCCAGCTTGGGCTCCAGCAGCAGTTCCTCAGGCTCCATTTCCTCACACTCCAGGCCATTCCTTTCGTCCCCTGCGCCCCCGGGACACCATCCCCGGCGTCTCCATGGGCCCCAGGCACAAGATGGCGCAGCCGCCCCTGCCGGAGCCCTAGTGGCCTGCAGCTCCTGCTGCTGTTGCCGCCGCCGCTCAGACTCCTTTTATTTTTATTTTTATTTTTATTTTTTTGAGAAAGAGCCTCACTCTGTCACCCAGGCTGCAGTGAAGTGGCATAATCTCAGCTCACCACAACCTCCGCCTCCCGGGTTAAAGCATTTTGTTGCCTCAGCCTCTCAAGTAGCTGAGATTACAAGCAGCCAACACCACGTCTGGCTTTTTCTTTTGTATTTTCAGTAGAGAAGGGGTTTCATTATCTTGGCCAGGCTGGTCTTGAACTCCTGACCTGGTTATTCACCTGCTCGACCTCTTACAGTGCTGGGATTACAGGCATGAGCCACCGCGCCCGGCCCATAATAGTTATTTTTTCTGCTCCTCTCCTTCCTCCCACCCTCCACCCTCAAGTAGACCCCAGTGTCTCGTTTTCTTCTTTGTGTTCCAGTAAATATTTTGGTTTCATATTTGATTTTGCTAGTTGTGAATTTACATGTTGTCATGTTAGTAAACATGGCTAGCTTGCTCTTTGACATCTGCAGTGGAAACTGGCTCCTTTGCGATTTTTCCCTGTATAAAGAGTGCCATAGTGGCTGCCTCTGCGCACGCCTGCATTCCTACACATATCTGAAGCTTCCTCCAGGTCAGGCAGGTGAAAGGATGATTGCTTCCTCTAGGATGGGGCATTTCCTGTTTTCTTAGATCCCACAAGATTCCCCCTTGCGCCCGACTGCCAAAGTGTCCTTTTCCAGCAAGATGAGATTCCTCTTCAGTTAAACAAAATTTGCTACTTTTTATATTTTTAAAAACTTTATATATGTATATACACATCCCCACACATGTGCACACACATATACATACAAATACATGTATACACACGTATATATTTTGAAAATCTAGGACAAATGACAACCCTTTGTATTAACATCTAGTTTTTTGTGAGTCTCTGTAGGTTTTATTATTTTGTGAACCTATATATACACAATTGATTTTTGTACTTTGAGTAATTTTGTTTTCATGTACTTTATTTTATTTTGGGACGCGGTCTCGCTTTGTTGCCCAGGCGTGAGTCCCCTGGCGGGATCGTAGCTCACTGCAACCTCCACCCTCAGGGTCAAGCCATCCTCCCTCCTTAGCCTTCCAAGTAGCTGGGACCACAGGTGCCTCCCACCACACCCAGCTAACATTTTTTATTTTTTTTATTTTTTTGAGATGGAGTTTCTGTTGCCCGGGCTGGAGTGCAGTGACATGATCTGGGATCCCTGCAACCTCTGCCCCCCCGGATCAAACGATTCTCCTGCCTCAGCCTCATGCGTAGCTGGGATTACAGGCATATGTCACTGTGCCCAGCCTATCTTTTACTGTGGGCATTGTCATCTTTTAAGACATCAGTCGTGCTCTGTCTCATCTAGATAATGTCACTTGGTGTGTCAATAAAAGTTCTGAACATTTTTATAACAGGAACCCAACATTGATTTTTCATTTGTTTATTTCTTGTATTTCTCACAAACATAGGAATTTCATACTGAAAGTGTGCCTGGACTTCTTCAAAAACTATAATAAAGACATCATGTGGTGAAAAATCCCTTCCTCGGATTTGTCAGAACATTCACTACAACTAAATCCGTGCTTTCCCCTCTCTCCTCTTCTCATTTTCGGTAAAGATGAGAACTCCTCCCATAACCATTTCCTTAAAATGTGTTTTCATTCCAGGGTCTGTTGACATTCAAGGATGTGGCCATAGAATTCTCTCAGGAGGAGTGGAAATGTCTGGACCCTGCTCAGAGGACTCTATACAGAGACGTGATGCTGGAGAATTATAGGAACCTGGTCTCCCTGGGTGAGGATAACTTCCCTCCTGGGGATGTGCCCTTGCATATCTTTGCCTTTTCTCTTGTTGCCTCTTGGAAGCCCCACACTTACTTGACTAAAATGGAAGCCGTATTGATTTTGACATGAAAAGCTTCATGATGCCAAGAGCACACCACTGCACTCCAGCCCAGGTGACAGAGCAAGACTGTCTCAGAAAACAAAAACAAATCTGATGGCAGACTTTAAACATATCCAGTTTCCTGTTTGCTTTTCTTGTGCTTTCAATTCGGTAGTTCTTGGAAGAGAGCTCGATGTCCACATATCACATATTACAATGCTCCCTCAGCATTCAGAAGGAAGCAGTCAGTAGAGGAATTTGTGAAATATTTTCCTAGATCCATCTGTAATGTTTTCTTTCCTACTGAAACATGGGCTGGGACTCTAGAAAAGCTCCAGCACATCATGGTCCTTTCTTTTTATAAGCAGGAATCTCTTTCTGACCTGCTGTCTCCATGTTGGAGCAAGGGAAAGAGCCCAGGACTGTGGAGAGTGAAGTGAAAATAGCAAAAATACCCAGCTGGGAGGGAATGTATTACAGGTGTAAAGGCAGGTAAGAGCTCAGATGGGCAGAGTGGAAGCTCCACCTTCCAATAGTGTGTGGGGAAACTCTGCAAGTGGGAGAATTCTGTGGGAAAAGAAAAGTTTCAATCCTCATATCTCTGAAAGGGCATCTTTCTTTGCACCTGCTTATCTCTGTGCTCTTTCTTTCTTTCTATTCTTTCTTTTTTTATGACAGAGTCTCACTCCGTGGCCCAGGCTACAGTGCAGTGGTACGATCTTGGCTAACTGCAGCCTCTGGCTCCTGGACTCAAAGCATTCTTGTGCCCCAGATTCCTGAGTAGCTGGAACTGCAGGCTCTTACCACCATGCCCAGCTAATGTTTGTGTTTTTAGTAGAGACAGTGTTTCACCATGTTGGCTAGGCTGGTTTCAAACTTGTGATCTCAAGTGATCCACCTGCCTCAGAATCCCAAAGCATCGGGATTACAGGTGCGAGCTGCCATGCCTGATCATTGTTATTATTTTAAATAGTTTTGTCTTTTAGTTCTTTAGATATTTGGGCAGAGGTTATTGTTGCAGGTATGTTAAACATCTTAAAGTTATAGCATAATAAAGAAACTTAAAATTTCCATAACCTGGATGTGTGCAGTGGCTCACACCTGTAATCCCAGCACTTTAGATGGCCAAGGTAGGCAGATCACCTGAGGTGAGGAGTTCAAAACCAGCCTGGCTAACATGTTGAAACTTCGTGTCTACTAAAATTACAAAAATTAGGCGTGGTGGTGGGTGACTGTAATCCAGCTACTCAGGAGGCTGAGGAAGGAGAGCCTCTTGAATCTGGAAGGCGGCAGTTGCAGTGAGCCGAGATTGCACCATTGCACTCCAGCATGGGAGACAGAGTGAAACTCCGTTTTTCAAAAAGAGAACAAAAAAATTCCATAACCTGCAAAAACTACTTCGTCTCCACTGGAACATTTTTTTTTTTTTTTTTTGAGACGGAGTCTCGCTCTGTCGCCCAGGCTGGAGTGCAGTGGTGCGATCTCGGCTCACTGCAAGCTCCGCCTCCCGGGTTCACGCCATTCTCCTGCCTCAGCCTCCCGAGTAGCTGGGACTACAGGCGCCCACAACCGCGCCCGGCTAATTTTTTGTATTTTTAGTAGAGACGGGGTTTCACCGTGGTCTCGATCTCCTGACCTTGTGATCCGCCCGCCTCGGCCTCCCAAAGTGCTGGGATTACAGGCGTGAGCCACCGCGCCCGGCCTTTTTTTTTTTTTTATTTATGTCAGAATTATTTCTGTGTATGTTGCATTTTTGTTAACATATGTACAGTGTTTTTCTGCCTTTTATTTTAAATAATGTGAAAAAAAGTTTAGTTATGAAGAAGAGGTATACATATGCCAGTTTCTGTATCTGTCCTTTTATTAATTATGTATTTATGAGACAGAGTTTTGCTCTTGTCACCCAGGCTAAAGTACAATGCTGCAATCTCAGCCCACTGGAACCTCTGCCTCTCAGGTACAACCAATTCTCCTGCCTCAGCCTCCTGAGTAGCTGGGATTACAGGCATGCGCCACCACGTCCATATACTTTTGTATTTTTAGTAGAGACAGGGTTTCTTTTTGTTGCTCAGGCTGGTCTCAAACTCCCCACCTCAGTTGATCTGCCTGGCTCGTCCTCCCAAAGTGCTGGGATTATAGGCATGAACCACCACACCTGGACTATCTGTCTTTTTTTTCACATTTACTGGAGAACTTTATTTATTTATTTATATTATTATTATTATTATTATTATTATTATTATTGTGATGGAGTCTCACTCTGTCACCCAGGCTGGAGTACAGTGGTGTGATCTCAGCTCACTGCAACCTCCGCCTTCTGGGTTCAAGCAATTCTCTCCTTCCTGAGTAGCTGTGACTACAGGCATGCGCCACTACACCCAGCTAATTTTTGTATTTTTAGTAGAGACGGGGTTTCACCATGTTGGCTGGCCAGGATGGTCTCGATCTCCTGACCTCGTGATCTGCCCCCCTCAGCCTCCCAAAATGCTGGGATTACTGGTGTGAACCACCACACCCAGCCTGGAGAACTTTATATAGATTTGTGGGTTGGAGTTACTCTTGTTTTTTTTGTTTGTTTATTTGTTTGTTTTGAGACGGAGTCTCGCTCGTTGCGCAGGCTGGAGTGCAATGGTGCGTTCTTGGCTCACTGCAAGCTCCACCTCCCGGGTTCACGCCTGCCTCAGCCTCCCCAGTAGCTGGGACTACAAGTGCCTGCCACCATGCCTGACTAATTTTTTGGATTTTCATAGAGACGGGGTTTCACCGTGTAAGCCAGGATGGTCTCGATCTCCTGACCTTGTGATCTGCCTGCCTCGGCCTCCCAACGTGCTGGGATTACAGGCCTGAGCCACCACACCTGGCCTGGAGTTAGTCTTTAGCCTTCTTTCATTTTTTTTTTTTTTGTTTGTTTCTTTGAGACAGAGTTTCAGTCTGTAACCCAGGCTAAAGTGCAGTGGTGTCATCTCAGCTCACTGCAACCTCCAATTCCCAGGTTCAAGCAATTCTCCTGCCTCAGCCTTCCAAGTAGCTAGGACTACAGGTGAGTGCTAACACGCCAGGCTAGTTTCTTGTGTTTTTTTAGTAGAGATGGAGTTTCAGCTTGTTAGCCAGGATGGTCTCAATCTCCTGACTTAGTGATCCTCCCGCCTCAGCCTCCCAAAATGCTGGGATTACTGGCGTGAGCCTCTGCACCTGACCTGTCTCAAGGTTTTAAAAACATGTTAGTGCTAGTAGATGGCTTCAAATATTGCAAGTTTTACAGTACAGCCTCTTAACTTCCTTTGTTTAATTAGATTTGTCACCTTCAGTGATGTTAATGATGAGATGCTCTTTTTCCTGTCTCAGTCATTTCACTGTCCTGTCAGAAATAGCTTAGACTCGCCAGCCCCAGTGTCTCACGTTTCTAATCCCAGCACTTTTAGAGACCAAGGTGGGTAGATTGCTGGAGGTCAGGAGTTTGAGACCAGTCTGGCCAACATGTTGAAATACTGAATGTACTAAATGCCAAAAATGGGCCAGGTGCAGTGGCTCACACCTGTAATCCCAGCACTTTGGGAGGCTGTGATGGGTTGATCACTTGAGGTCAGGAGTTCGAGACAAGCCTGGCCAATATGGTGAAACCCCATCTCTACTAAAAATGCAAAAATTAGCTGTGTATGGTGGTGTGCACCTGTAATCCCAGCTACTTGGGAGGCTGAGGCAGGAGAATCCCTTGAACCCGGGAGGTGGAGGTTGCAGTGAGCCAAGATCATGCCACTGAACTCCAGAACGGGTGACAGAGTGAAACTATGGACTGAGGAGGGAGAATCACTTGAGGTAGGATAATCCTGCCAGTACACTCCAGCATGGGCGATAGAGCGTGACTCGATCTGAAAAACAAACAAAAAAGGAAATAGCTTAAACTGGGAGGCTTAAGACACAGACATTTATTTCTCCTGAATTTGGAAAGTGGGAAATCCAAGAGCAAGGTGCCAGCCAAATTAGTTCCTGGTGAGAGCATTCTTCATGGTTTAGCCCAGCCATCTCCCTGCTGTGTCCTAATATGGTGGAAAGAGGAACAGGCAATGAGCTCTTTAATGTCTCTTTATAAATGCACTGGTCCTATTCACGAGTAGTCAACACCCATGACTCAGTCCTCTCAAGGTCTGCATCTGCAGGAACATCCTATTAGAGAATACCAAATCTACCGAAGCTTATTTGAGAAGTAGTTATTTATCTTGTTTGATTTTTTTGAGACAGTCTTATCCTGTCACCCAGGCTGGAGTGCAGTGGCACGATCCCGGTTCACTGCAACCTCCGCCTCCCAGGTTCAAAGGTTTTCTGCCTCAGACTACCAAGTACCTGGGATTACAGGCTCCCTCCATGACGACCAGCTAATTTTTTTGTATTTTTAATAGAGATGGGGTTTCACCATGTTGTCCAGGCTGGTCTTGAACTCCTGACCTCAAGATTCACCTGCCTCAGCCTGCCAAAGTGCTGGGATCACAGGCCTGTGACACTGCACCCGGCTGTTAGTCAATTCTCATTCCTTATAATGCTGTGTATTTTCTTGACCTCATATATCAGAAGGTAGTGACCTTAACATGTATTTCAGGTCTTATGTTGTATGCTTATGGTAAGTACAAGTTTTGGCTCTTTTCTTAAGAGGGAATTGTTTAGAATTCTTCAATCTGTATAAATCTACTTATTATTTTCTGGCTTGTTTTATCATGGATTGCAGTATTTGATTAATTGATTTTTATGACTTTACATGTGAGTTTTCGGTATGTGGTATGCAATATAACTGACACACTCCCCCCATTAATGTCACAAAGTGCCACAGGTTGCAGTGGCTCAGCCTGTAATCCCATGTCTTTGGGAGGCCGAGACATATGGATCACCTGAGGTCAGCAGTTTGAGACCAGCCTAGCCAACATGGTGAAACCCCATCTCTACTAAAAAATGCAAAAATTAGCTGAGCATGGTGGCACGTGCCTGTAATCCCAGGTGCTCAGGACCTAAGGCAAGAGACTCATATGAACCCCAGCGCAGAGGTTGCATGAAGCCAAGATCATGCCATTGCACTCCACCCTGGGTGACAGAGCGAGACTCTATCTGAAAAAAATAAAAATATATATAATTGAAAAAAAGTCCCAGCATGCCTGTTCCACATGGATATAGGTAATTTTGTAACAGTTATTCAGAAAAATACCGCATTAACATTTTCTTTTTTTTGAGATGGAATCTCACTCTGTCACCCAGGGTGGAGTGCAGTGGTGTGATCTCAACTCACCACAATCTTTGGCTCCTGAGTTGAAACGATTATCCTGCCTTAGCCTCCCAAGTAGCTGGAATTACAGGCGCCTGTGACCACGCTTGGCTAGTTTTTGTATTTTTAGTACAGACAGGGTTTCTCCATGTTGGCCGGGATGGTCAAACTCCTGACCTGAGATGATCTGCCTACCTCGGCCTCTGGAAGTACTGGGATTATAGGCACGAGCCACCACACCCTGCCTTTTTTCTTTTTCTTTTTCTTTTTTTTTTTTTTTTTGTTGAGATGGAGGCTCATTTTGTCACCTGGGCTGGAGTGTAGTGGTGTAATATTGGCTCACTGAAACCTTTGCCTTTTGGCTTAACACAATTCTTGTGACACAGCCTTTGGAATAGCTAGGAGTACAGGTGCAGGTTGCCATACCTGGCTAATTTTTGTAATCTTTTGTTATCTTGTCAGTGCTATGATTGTTTGACAATACAGAATTTCCATTGATTTTGGTTCTCCTTACAACAGCATGTTGTGGATTATTTACCAATATGGTATATTGTGTGATTCTTTAGCATTTATTTGTATACACTAAATATGCTGTAAATATGAAGATATATATTTTTATATTTTGATGTGACAGTGATGTGTTTTTTTGCAAACTGATACACTTTAGGGTCACAGTGGAAAAACACTCCTTTCTTTAGACTCACACATGTTTGCGCCCTGTCAGTGTCTTGTCATGATATTGGGAATAGGCTTCTGTAGAAATGATTTGAAGTACATGTAATTGCCCTTTATTTATTAAAGTATCTTACTGCTTTTGTGTTCATAAGCATTGAAGATCATGTTTGGGAAGTTTAAAATAAGTATTGTTTTTCATGTCATTTTTACACATTTCAGTATTATATACCATCTGTACTTAATTGGAAACCTATTGGTGTTTAAATTTTGTAGATATCTCTTCCAAATGCATGTTGAAGACGTTGTCATCAACAGGGCAAGGCAATACAGAAGTGATCCTCATCGGGACATTGCAAAGACAAGCAAGTCATCACACTGGAGAGTTTTGCTTCCAGAAAATTGAGAAAGACATTCATGGCTTCGAGTTGCAGTGGAAAGAAGATGAAACAAATGGTCATGCAGCACCCATGACAGAAATCAAAGAGTTGACTGGTAATACAGACCGACATGATCAAAGGCATGCTGGAAACAAGTCTATTAAAGATCAGCTTGGATCAAGCTTCCATTCACATCTGCCTGAACTGCACATATTTCAGCTTGAAGGGAAAATTGATAATCAAGTTGTGAAATCTTTCAACGATGCTTCCTCAGTTTCAACATCCCAAAGAATTTCTTTTAGGCCCAAAACCCGTATTTCTAATAAGTATGGAAATAATTCCCTCCATTCTTCATTACTCACACAAAAATGGGAAGTACACATGAGAGAAAAATCTTTCCATTATATAGAGAGTGGCAAATCCTTTAATTGTAGCTCACTTTTAAAAAAACATCAGATAATCCACTTAGAAGGGAAACAATGTAAATGTGATATATGTGGGAAGGTCTTTAATCAGAAGCGATACCTTGCATGCCATCGTAGATGTCACATTGGTGAGAAACCTTACAAGTGTAATGAGTGTGGTAAGACCTTTGGTCACAATTCATCCCTCTTCATTAACAAGGCACTTCATACAGGTGATAAACCTTATAAATGTGAAGAATGTGACAAAGTTTTCAGTCGCAAATCACATCTTGAAGCACAGGAGATAATTTATACTGGAGAGAAAACATACAAATGTAAGGTTTGTGACAAAGCTTTCACGTGTAATTCATACCTGGCAAAACATACTATAATTCACACTGGAGAGAAACCTTACAAGTGTGATGAATGTGGCAAGGTTTTTAATCGACTATCAACCCTTGCACGCCATCGTAGACTTCATACTGGGGAGAAACCTTTTGAATGTGAAGAATGTGACAAAGTTTTCAGCCGCAAATCACACCTTGAAAGACATAAGAGGATTCATACTGGAGAGAAACCATACAAATGTAAAGTTTGTGACAAGGCTTTCGCATATAATTCATACCTGGGAAAACATAGTATAATTCACACTGGAGAGAAACCTTACAAGTGTAATGAATGTGGCAAGGTTTTTAATCAACAATCAACTCTTGCACGGCATCATAGACTTCATAGTGCAGAGAAACCGTATAAATGTGAAGAATGTGACAAAGTTTTCAGGTGCAGATCACACCTTGAAAGACATAGGAGGATTCATACTGGAGAGAAACCATACAAATGTAAGGTTTGTGACAAGGCTTTCCGGAGTGATTCATGCATTACAGAACATCAGAGAGTTCATACTGGAGAGAAACCTTACACATGTAATGACTGTGGCAAGGTTTTTAGTACAAAAGCAAACCTTGCATGTCATCATAAACTTCATACTGCAGAGAAACCTTACAAATGTGAAGAATGTGAGAAAGTTTTCAGTCGCAAATCACACCTGGAAAGACATAGGAGGATTCATACTGGAGAGAAACCATACAAATGTAAGGATTGTGACAAGGCTTTCCGGAGGGATTCACACCTGGCACAACATCAGAGAGTTCACACTGGAGAGAAACCTTACAAGTGTAATGAGTGTGGCAAAACCTTCCGTCAGACATCATCCCTTATAATCCATCGTAGGCTTCATACTGGAGAGAAACCTTACAAGTGTAATGAGTGTGGCAAGACCTTCAGTCAGATGTCATCCCTTGTATACCATCATAGACTTCATAGTGGAGAGAAACCTTACAAGTGTAATGAATGTGGCAAAGTTTTTAATCAACAAGCACACCTTGCACAGCATCAGAGAGTTCATACTGGAGAGAAACCTTACAAGTGTAATGAGTGCGGCAAGGCTTTCAGTCAGATGTCAAACCTTGTATACCATCGTAGACTTCATAGTGGAGAGAAACCTTAAAAGTGTAATGAGAGTGGCAACACCTTCCATCACAATTCAACCCTTGTAGGTCATAAAGCCATTCGTACTGGAGCGAAACCTTACAAGTGTAATGAATGTGGCAAGGTTTTTAATCAAAAAGCAACCCTTGCACATCATCGTAGACTTCATACTGGAGAGAACTTTACAGATGGGAAGAATGTGACAAAGTTTTCAGTCGCAAATGAAACCTTGAAACACATAAGAAAATTCATACTGAAGAGAAACCATACAGATGTAAGGTTTGTGACAAGATTTTCACATATAATTCATACCTGGCAAAACATCCTAGAATTCACACTGGAGAGAAACCTTAGAAGTGTAATGAATGTGGCAACACCTTTGGTCAAAATTCACACCTTGTAATTCAAAAGACAATTCATACTGGAGAGAAACCTTACAAGTGGAATGAATGTGGCATGGTTTTTTTTTTTTTTTTTTTTTTTTTTGAGACGGAGTCTCGCTCTGTCTCCCAGGCTGGAGTGCAGGGGCCGGATCTCAGCTCCGCCTCCCGGGTTCACGCCATTCTCCGGCCTCAGCCTCCCGAGTAGCTGGGACTACAGGCGCCCACCACCTCGCCCGGCTAGTTTTTTGTATTTCTTAGTAGAGACGGGGTTTCACCATGTTAGCCAGGATGATCTCGATCTCCTGACCTCGTGATCCACCCATCTCAGCCTCCCAAAGTGCCGGGATTACAGGCTTGAGCCACCGCGCCCGGCCTGTGGCATGGTTTTTAATCAACAATCACACCTTGCAAGTCATCATAGACTTCATACTGCAGAGAAATCTTAAAAATGTGAAGACTGTGACAAAGTTTTCAGTCACAAATCACAGCTTGAAAGGATAATTCATACTGGAGAAAAACCATACTAATGTAAGGTTTGTAACAAGGCTTTTGGGAGTGATTCACACCTGTCAAAACATACCAGAATTAACACTGGAGAGAAACCTTACAAGTGTAATGAGTGTGGCAAAGTCTTTAGTGGGCAGTCACCACTTATTCACCATCAAGCAATCCATAGTATACAGAAAGTTAACTAATGTAATGATTGTCACAAAGTTTTCAGTAATGCTACAATCATTACAAATCATTGGAGAATGCATAATGAAGAGAGATCTTACAAGTGTAATAAATGTGGCAAATTTTTCAGACATCGTTCATATCTTGCAGTTCTTTGTCAAACTCATGCTGGAGAGAAACCTTATAAATGTCATGATTGTGGCAAGGTCCTCAGTCAAGTTTCATCCTATGCAAAACATAGGAGAATTCATACAGGAGAGAAACCTCACACGTGTGATGATTGTGGCAAAGCCTTTACTTCACGTTCACATCTCAATTGGCATCAGGAAATCCGTACTGGACAGAAATCTTACAAATGTCATCAGTGTGGTAAGGTCTTCAGTCTGAGGTCGCTCCTTACAGAACATCAGAAAATTCATTTTGGAGACAGTTATTTCAAATGTGATGAGTATAGCAAACCATCAAGCGTTAATTGACATTACAGTCAAACAAGCATTGACCTGAGTTTGAGTTGGCTTAACATTGAGTTCAAGCATGAGTTGACATTAAACTGTTTATGTTAAGAGGATTGGGCTGGGTGCTGTGGCTCATGCCTGTAATGCCAGCACTTTGAGAGGCCAAGACAGGTAGGTCACTGGAGGTTAAAAGTTTGAGAACAGCCTGGCCAACAGATGGGAGCCACTTTTCCTGGCCTGTATTTTCATTTCTTTTTTTTTTTTTTTTTGAGATGGAGTCTTGCTGTGTCACCCAGGTTGGAGTGCAGTGGCATGATCTCGGCTCACTGCAACCTCCGCCTCCCAGGTTCAAGTTATTCTCCTGCCTCAGTCTCCAAGTAACTGGGACTACAGGTGCGTGCCACCATGCCTGGGTAATTCTTTGTGTTTTTAGTAGAGACTGGGTTTCACCGTGTTCGCCTGGATGATCTTGATTTTCTGACCTTATGATCCACCTGCCTCCACCTCCCAAAGTGCTGAGATTATGAGTGTGAGCCACCGTGACTGGCCTGTTTTTTGTTTTTCTAACAAAAAGTTATATGGATTTCTATGGGTATTGTATTGAATCTAAATCACATTTGGTTATGTAATCATTGAGCAATACTAATTTTTCCAATCAATATGGGTTGTGTATGTATTTATACATGTTTTTAATCATTTTGATCAATGTTTGTAGATTTCAAGGTACAAGCTTCTCACCTTTATGTTTATTCCTAAATGTTTCTTACTTTAAGCTCTTTAACAAATGGAAGTGGTTTTAATTTTCTTTTAAAATTATTTATTGTTAATGTATGAAAATTAAACTAATTTTTGGTGCTGTTATTCTATTCTGCAAATACACTGAATGTGTTCCAGTTGTACTTTGGTTGACTCTGTGATTTTCTTCACAGAAGATCATGCCGTCTACAAACAAATAGGATTTTACTTCTTTCTTTCTGATTTGGATGAGTTTGATTTCTTTTGCTATTTCATTGCTCTGGCTAGGACAGCCAGTATTGATTGAATAGAAGGGGTGGATTATTCTTGCATCATGTGAGATCCTACAGGAAAAGCATTCCATTTTCCCTGATTGGTTATTTCCACTGTGGTCATTTCATGGATTGTCTTTGTATTGTTGAGGTAAATTTCCTTCTTTATCTATTTTGCTTAGGATTTCCATGATGACTGGACGTTGAATTTTGTGAAATGCTTTTTCTCCATGTATTGAGATGATGTGGTTTCCATCTTTCATTCTGTTCAAGTGGAATATCACATTGAATTGCTTGAATATGTTGAACCATCATTACATCTCAGAAATAAGTGGCACTTGAATATCTACAATCCTTTTTATATCGTCTTGAATACAGTTTGCTAGTACAAGGGGTCTTCAAGAAGTTCATGAAAAATACATATTATGAGAAAATTGTGCATGACATCACATTTTTTTGCACCAAAATAAAATGGTACAAATTTGTTATGTGTAAACAGGGTCTAGTTTGAGGCACTCAGAAGGGTAAGATGAGTTTGAAAAGAGAATCCATCAAAGCAATGTAAATTCTGCTAAAATTGAAAGAAGAAGAAACGTTGAATTTACAATGAGACCAGATGCAGTGGCTCAGGCCTGTAATCCTAGCACTTTCAGAGATCAAGACAGGTAGGTCACATGAGCCCTGGTATTCAAGACCAGCCTGGACAGAATGGTGAAACCCCTTCTTTACAAAAAATACAAAAATTAGCTGAGCATGGTGGCACGTGCCTGCTGGTTCAGCTTCTCTGGAGTTTGTAGTGGGAGGGTGGCTTGAGCCCAGGAGGTAGAGGCTGCAGGGAGCCATGATCATGCCACTGCACTCCAGCTGGGGTGACAGAGTGAGATAGTGTCTCAAGAAATGAATATGCTGAAGTTTGGGTAGAGGGACAATTAAATCATTGATGCTTTGTGAAAAGGTTATGGGGACGATGCCCAAAAGAAATCATTAGTTTGTAAATGGATAACTCATTTTAAGTTGAGACAAGACAATGTTGAAAGTGATGCATGGAGTGGCAGGTAGACCATTCACATCAGTTTTACAGACAAAAATAAATCTTGTTTGTGCTGCGATGAAGAGGACTGACAGCTAACAGCAGAAAGAATAGTCAGGAGTTTGAGACCAGCCTGGATAACATGCTGAATCCCCATCCCTACTAAAAATAAAACAATTAGCTGGGCATGGTGGTGGCCACCTGTAATCTTAGCTACTCGGGGGGCTGAGACATGAGAATCGCTTGAATCCAGGAGGCGGACGTTGCAATGAGTTGAGATCGTGCATCTGCACTCCAGCTGGGCAACAGAGCAAAACTCTGTCTCAAAATAAAATAAAATAAATAAAATAAAACTGCTTCTCAAATAAGCTTTGGTAGAATCTTAAGGGGTCACATCATTGTTTTCCAACTATGATATGTGTTGAAAAATTTGTTCTTTGACCACACATTTTATTAGATTTTTTTTTAACCATTATTAATGGTTTTTCTCTGAAATGTATTGTGTTCAGGTTACATTGAGGACTGCATGCTTTCTAGTCTGTATCATATATTGGAAACATTTTCTGGTACCTGATAAATGATTAGTATGTTTCAATGTGTACTTGATAAAGATATCACGGAACTTTTTTCTTTATGCTAACATCAAAATTTAGTTCAAGTGGCCATGATTCCATTTTATTTATTTATGTCATCTGATTAAATGGTGAGCTGTGAGCTTCTAAGTCATCGTTCCCCTCATGTTCCTCTGGTCCATAATATTTGCAGATGTTGAAGGATGGGCTGGATTGACCTGGAACCTTGTTCCACTGGAGCCCATGTGTTCATGAAGAAAACATTTGCTCAGATCTCCTTTTACCGCTGCTTCTTTTTCAGTGTTTTAAACACTTATGGCTATGTGTTCACAATTGTGTTTATTTTGAACGTTTCACAATCATTTTTCTGGGAAAATAATTACATGTTTAGGATTCATGCCATCAGAACCTTAGACATTGAAAGAGACACTTCATTTGCTCAGGTATATAAAATGGTACTGAAATTTTTTCCTTCTTTTTGAGACAAGAATGTCACTCTGTCACCCATACTTGAGTGCAGGGACATGATCTTGGCTCACTGCACCCTCCACCTCCCAGGCCCAGTGATCCACCTTAGTCAGCCTCCCAGATAACTGAGACCACAGATGCACACCACCACAGCAGGCCAATTTTCTGTACTTTTGGTAGCGACGGGGTTTTACCAAGTCTCCCAGGTTGGTTTCAAACTCCTGGGCTCAATGGTCTACTCACTCCAGCCTCCCAAAATGCTATGATTACAGGGTTAGCCACCATGCCTGGCCCATTGTGGAATTTTCTAGAGAAGGAAAACCAACACAGCCTATTGGCACTTCCAGCCATCACATGGGAATCAGCCACACCTCCTGACTCAACTCAGAGCTTCTCAGGATACCTTAGTGAAGTGTCTCCTGCTCGGAACAACTGACACAACCTGTAATGTACAGGTGGGGAATAAGACCAGAAAAGCTCAGTCAGAGTGACACTGACCCCTGAAATACTTCACCAAATAGTGTGTGGCTTTTCCTGTAGGAGAGGGTAATGCTCAGGTGTAATTTGAATTTTAAATGGATTCCTGTCCTCCCAAAATGTAAAAAACACAAATACCAGAATGGAAAAAACAGGGGATTAGACTCAAATCGTCTTGAACCTCTCCTTGTCTCTGTCCACACAAACTGCTTTTCCTAATCTCATCTCGCAGCTTTAACCCACCTACGCGGCTCCATGTCCCCTGCAGGTCTCTTCCCTGAGCTCTACAATCCTGTGTCCTGTTGTCTCCTCAGCTCTCTGCTGGGATATCAAACTGGCATCTCCACATTCACGTGCCCATAAGTGACTTCCTAAACTCCCAAACACATTCCCTTACAGTCCTACAGATCTCAGATGAGGGTGACTGTGTACTTCCGGGGACTTAGCCAAACTTGACAGCATGTATTTTAAGTATGGGAGATAAATTATATTATTTGTAAGTGTTGTAATTTATACTGTAAAGAGAAAGTTGCATGTATACATAAAAGGAGTGAGAAAATACATCATTTCCAACCTTCTTTTGAGGTGTGGGGGAAAAATGTTTGGAGACCTCATCCCTATGGATCTGTGCTCCCAGGACCCCTCTAACCTCACCTCCTGCATGCGTCCCTCTCGCTTTCTCTGCTCCAGCCATGCAGGCCTCTTTCCTTTTTCTGGGACTGAGGTTTCTCCCATCTCAGGGCCTTCAACTGTGCTGTCCCTCTGCCTAGGACTCTGTGGCCACTGAGCTGCAAGTGACAAGCAGAGTTTCTTCCCCAAGTCTTTGTTCTGACATCACTTTTACTATGGAGAACTTTGTTCTCCCATAGCCCCCCATTTGTCATGACAACTCCACCTTCACCCCCACCTCTGGTCCATGTTGCCTGTTCTGTGTGATTCTTTTTGCTCCTTCGCTGTTCACTGGATCCTGGTGAGGACAAGTCTCTAAGCAGAGAGCAGAGCCAGAAGGTGGGGCTGTGCTGGGCTGGTGCCCTCTGAGTGGAGCTCAACCCTGACTTTACATTGGGGTTCTCAGGCATTTTGCAAATACATCTTTTATGCTGTTTTATCAGAGATTGCTATTTTCACAGTATGGGACCCACCCTCAGCAATACCTACAATGACACAGGTGATTCTCATCTGTCTCCAGCATTGAACGTCAAGGCAGTTTCCTCCATGTTGAGAGCTGAGATCAGCCTGTGATCCACAGGGAGGTGAGGGGACTGTGCTCTGCATGGGGTTTGGTTAGGGCAGATCTGTGCCCTGAAGGTCTCTCTCCTGCTGCAGCATGTGTGTGGACTTTTCCAGGAGGGAGCAAGATCTGAAAACGGGTCAAAATTACCCTTGTAGATCTTCCCGTGGCACGTTCTTATCTCTGCATGATCTCTGGGACCGTGGGCAGCAGAGGACCATCCGTCTCCAGGGTAAGGTCTCCCCTGTGTGTGTGTTTTGTCACAGGAAAGGAGGGAGTGATTTCTAAACATTAAATCTCTGATTTTTTTTCACACACAGGATTTCCAAAGACTCATGTTACATGAGGAAGCCACCAAGAAGAGCAAAGAAAAGGATCCAGGGATGGCGCTTCCTCAGGTGAGTGATATTCCTCGGTGGATTGTGCTGCCTCTTTCCTTTCTGAAATGCCAGGTGTTGTGGTAGCCAGTCTTCTGTGAGTCTGAAGCGTCCTGCCTCACACGTTTGCTGGCACTCACCCATGCCTTTTCTCAGTCCTTGTCATCTTCACTTAAATTCCATCTCCTATAACCTAGTGAATGAGCTTGGGAAGAGGCTCCCCTGGGCATGGTCCTGGGAAGGGCTCACACCAGACATGGATGGAGATGGGGTGTGGGACCCGTGCTGTCAGTGATGTTGGCCAGCAGGGATTGTTCAGAGACCACATCTGGATGAACGTTTAGCTCTTTGTAAACCTGATCAGAAAAACCATATATGAAAGTCATTCATTAATGTGCCCTGGTATCTGGCAAATTCTAGAAAAGGAAACAAACTAGGGGAGATATTTTGTATCTGATTTTGTAATGCATTTGAAGTTACGCTTGTGAGTCAATATGTCTCTGACTCCAAACTGTTTTTTTAAGAGACAGGTGTCACTCTGGGGCCCAGTCTGGAGTGCAATGGCACACAGCAGCCTCAAATTTGTGGCCTCAAGTGATCCCCACATTAGCATCTCACGGAGTCAGATGACAGGCATGTGCCACCATGGCATGTGCCACCATGCCAGTCTATTCTAGTTTCAGAGAAGGTGAGAATGAGAGCTGTGTACAGAATGAGGGAGGGAAGCAGTGATGAAGATGAAGGGGAACCCTGGGTGCAGATGAGTGGTGAGTTGATTGGATGTGATGATGAAGTGATGATGTGTTGCTTCCTCTCTTTACAATGTAATTAATGTAAAATTAAATTATGCAGATGAGAATCAGGGTTACAAGACTCCTGTGTCTAAGTGTGGTGCATTTTATAATTATGGTGTCAGAGACGAGCTTCCCTTTGCAATCCGTCTTCAGCCAGAGGACAGTGACTTAACTCGTTAGTTGTGGATCACCCTCTTCCCTTTTCATGGATGGGATGGGGAGTGGGGAAATGAAGTAGGGTAAGAAGTGACTGAGTCTCTGTTACTACATTGAATGTGATAAAAGGCATATTAAAAGTGCTTTTGTTCTCTTTTCATAATTTTTTTGTGTGTGTGGTTTTTTTTTCCTGGTTTCTCTTTTAATTAGCTTAGCTGTTCTTTTGTGTGTTTATGTGTTGTGGGATCTGGCCAGCAGCCTGCAATGCAGCGGGCTGTCTCTTTTTTCCCATGCAGATCAGCAGGTCGAGGTGAGAGGTCGAATAAGTGGAGGAAAAGGCACATAATCCCAACAAGAATAATTTCGTGCAGCAGGTAAATCGGTGTGAGAGGAAACTGGTGAGACAGAAAGTAAAAGGAGGAGAATCATTAAATAAAACCTATTGTAGGTGAGATTGAGTGCTGAAGGAGGAAGAGAAGAACAGAGGCATGTTATTTTCAGGCTAATAGAAATGGTGAGATTTTTAGGTTTGTAAGGAGAAAAAGAAAGTTAATCAGAAGGGGGATTAGTTACATGGGTCTCCATTGCCATTAGGGGGGATTGAATTAGACCTCTTGTGATTTGGTGTGCCAGCTTCTAAGGAGTTGGCACAGATCTCACCACGTCTGAGGGCGGTTTGTGATGTGAATGTCTTTTCCCTGTGGTTTTCATCGTCAGTACTCACATGAAGCTTGAGTCTCCCAGTGGGTATCCAGAGAGGGGATTGGTGATCTCCCGGTGAAACAAGCATATCCTCTCCCCCACATTATAATTGTGCCAGGTTCTCAGGTATTGGTTTGGGAGTTTTTCCATAACACTTGCTTGCCTTCATTTAGGGAGAATTTTTTGCCTTTATAATGGTGTTCGGCTGCAGTTAGATTATTATCTCTAGGAACATTTAAAAAATTTAAAGTAAATAATGCCAAATGTATTTGGGAATGGGGGGTAGTTAAATTATGCTTTTGTTGTTCAGACTGTTTAGACAATCGGGTTTTTAAAGTGCAATTGGCCCGTTCCACCACAGCCTGTCCCTGAGGGCTGTAAGGGATTCCAGTAATATGGGAAATTCCCCGCTGTTGCATAAATAAATCAAAAGCCTTACTAACATATCCAGCGGCTTTGTCTGTATTTATTTGATATGGAAGCCCCATAATTGCAAAGCAAGAATACAGATTTTTTTAAACATGGGCCATGCCTTCCCCTGTTTGGCAGGTAGCCCAGATAAAACCTGAGAAGGTGTCTACAGAGACATGCACATGTGACAGTCTGCCAAAGGAGATAACATGGGTCACATCCATTTGCCATAAATCATTAGGACTTAGGCCTCTGGGATTAACGCCAGGTTCCTGATTTGGAAGTACAAAAACTTGGCACTGAGGACAGCTGTGAACAATAATCTTAGCCTGTTTCCAGGTAAGAGCAAATGTATCTTTTAATCCAGCAGCATTGTCATGAGTGAGATTATGAAACTCCTGAGCTTCTTGGGTTGCAAAAGAGACCAAACACTCGACTTTATGGTTACCGGCAGACATGGGTCCTGGTAGAGTGGTATGAGATCTAATATGCATAATATAGAAAGGGTGTCTACGTTGGCGAACCGCCTGTTGTAACCTTGAAGATAAAGAAGCCAATTCAGAATTATCAATATGTTTGATAGTAGCAGTTTCTATATTTTTAGTGGCATGTACAACATAAGCAGAATCAGAGACAATATTTAAAGGATTAGGGAAATCCTGTAAGGCAATAATGACAGCAGTTAACTCTGCCATTTAAGCAGAGGTGTAAAGGGTAGAAATAAGCTTATCTGCAGGACCCACATAACCAGCATTGCCATTACTGCAGCGGTCAATGAACACTGTAACGGCCTCAGGAGTGGGCTGACCTTTGGTTAAGATGTCACTTTTATAAAATCAAACAATTTGTTCTTTGGATAATGATTATCAATAACGCCAATAAAATCAGCCAAGTGAATTTGCCACAGTATGGAATGTTGAAAGGCGGCTTGAACTTTGAGCCGATTTAAAGGAACTACAGTTAAATTCAGATCAAATCTGGAAATTTTAAGTATTCTACACCGAGCTTCTCCAATTACAGTGGCCATTTGGTCTAGATAAACAGACAAAGTTTTGACACAGAATGAGGAAGAAAACACCACTCCCCTAAATCATTATGTTGAACTATTAGTCCAGTAGGAGAGTGTAATGAAGTGAAAACCGGAAGCTGAAAAGGCTGAGAAGGCTGTACTCTAGATAACTGGGTGGTCTGGATTCTTTCCTCTATAAATTCCAGTTCTAGTGAAGCCTCAGGGGTCAAAGTCCTGGGACTGTAGAGATTGGAATCTCCCCGCAGCATAGAAAACAATTTAGACAGTGCGTAGGTTGGAATACCTGAAGTAGGTCTTCAATAATTAATGTTACCCAAAAGTTTTTGGAAGTCGTTAAAGTTTTCAAAGAATCTCTCCTAATTTGAACTTTTTTGAGGTTGAATACATTGTTTATCGACCACCATTCCTAAATATTGAACAGGAGTGGTGTGTTGAATTTTATCCTGAGCGATGTGTAATCAGCCTCTGTAACATGGAGGCTCAAACTTTGATAACAGTCAATTACTTCTTTATCAGTGGGGGCAGAAAGTAAAATATCATCAATATAATGAAGAATATAGGCCTGGGGAAATTGGGCTCGAACTGGTGAAAGCACTTGCCCAACATAAAGCTGGCAGACTGTAGGGCTATTCAGCATTCTCTGAGTAAGTACTCTCCATTGATAACGAGCTACAGCCTCCTGACTATAGATAGATGGTACAGTAAAAGCAAATTTTTCACAGTCCAATTTATGTAAAGGAATATGAAAAATATCTTTAAGATCGAGAACTATGAGAGGCCAATTTTTAGGTATTAAAGCAGGGGCAGGCCTGCCTGGTTGGATGGCCCCCCTAGGTTTAATTACAGCGTTAATGGCCCTTAAATTGGTTACCATCTACCACTTGCCTGATTTCTTTTTTACTAGAAACAGGGGAATTCCAGGGGGAAAGAGAAGGTTCCACATTTCCAAGTTGTAATTGTTCAGAAACCAAGCGAGTTAAAGCCTCCAGTTTTTCTTTAGAGAGCGGCCACTGCTGAATCCAAACGGGTGTGTCAGATTTCCAGTGTAAAGGGATAGGATAAGGAGCCGAGGCAGCAGGATAACCTAAACCCACCCTGTTTTATTTTACAGTAACTGGGAGGGGTTTAGTAATCCCTTCATGTTTTGGATCGAGAAGGAGTCCAGGAACAAACCTCATGGTTTCCATCATATGCTGACTGGGAGCACTATATGAATTATGTGGAATATTAATTTCAGCCCCCCATTGTGCCAGTAAATCTCTACCCCAAAGATTAATGAGGACTGGAGTGATATAAGGCTGAGCTGTACCCTTTTGACCACCAGGGTCAGTGCAAGGCAAGATAAATATGCTCTCATAAACTTCCTCGGCTTTTCCAACACATACTAGTCCCATGTTGGTGTGATGTTTAAGCCAGGAGGAAGACCATAAACTAGAGGAAATAACAGAAACATCAGCCCCAGTATCTACCAGGCCCTCAAACTTTTTTCCTTGAATGTGAATGGTGCAGGTGGGCTGCTGTTTAAAAATTATATTAATCCAGGCCGGGCGCGGTGGCTCAAGCCTGTAATCCCAGCACTTTGGGAGGCCGAGGCGGGTGGATCACGAGGTCAGGAGATCGAGACTATCCTGGCTAACATGGTGAAACCCCGTCTCTACTAAAACTACAAAAAACTAGCCAGGCGTGGTGGCGGGCGCCTGTAGTCTCAGCTACTTGGGAGGCTGAGGCGGGAGAATGGCGTGAACCCGGGAGGTGGAGCTTGCAGTGAGCCGAGATCATGCCACTGCACTCCAGCCTGGGAGACACAGCGAGACTCCGTCTCAAAAAAAAAAAAAAAATTATATTAATCCAATAAGCGGCCTTTTCACCACCTGAGCCAATCCTAGGGCCACGTGCCTTATTTCCTTTGTTTTAAATGATATTAGGTA